GGAGTGAACAGGCTGGGATGGGAAGGCAGAAGGAGTGGACAGGCTGGGATTGGAAAGCTGAGGGAGAGAGGCTGGGATGGGAAGGATGAGGGAGTAGACGGGCTGGGATGGGAAGGATGAGGGAGTAGACGGGCTGGGATGGGAAGGATGTGGGAGTAGACAGGCTGGGATGGGAAGGATGAGGAAGTGGACGGGCTGTGATGGGAAGGATGTGGGAATAGACAGGCTGGGATGAGAAGGATGAGGAAGTGGACAGGCTGTGAGAAGGTGTAGACAGGCTGGGATGGGAAGGATGAGGTAGTAGACATGCTGGGATGGTTGATTTTCTGTGTCAACTTGACCCAGCAAAGGGATGCCCAGAGAGCTGGTAAAACACTATCTCTGGGTGTGTCTGTTGGCTGTTTCTGGAAGAGATTAGCATTTGAGTTGGTAGTCTGGGTACTGTAGAGCAGATGGCCTGGCCCCCACCCCCCAGTGTGAGTGGGCATTATCCACCCCCCACATTGGGCACCCTAATAGAACAGAAAGGCAGAGCAAGGATGAGTTCACTCTCTGTCTGCTTGAGTGAGGCATCCATCTTCTGTGCTCAGACATCACTCCCGGTTCCTGGACTTTTGAACTAAGATCGGGACTCACACCACCAGCCCCCGATTCTCAGGCCTTTGGACTTGGAGTGAGTTACACCACTGACTTCACTGGTTCTCCAGCTGGCAGACGACAGATCATGGGACTCTTCAGTCTCTGTAACCATGTGATCCAATTCCTGTAATACACCTCCTCTTACATATATCCATATGTCCTTTGGGTTGTTTCTCTGGAGAGCCCTGATACACAGGCCAAGGTGGAGAGAAATGAGTCCCAGCTTGAAGAGAAAGCCACAGCAAAAGAGAGCTTGGCCTCTGCAAGAATCTGAAAGAAATTCAGGGTCAGGGACCAAAGGAATGAGGGCAAAAGTGTCCTGGAGGAGGTAGGCCTGATCCCAAGCTCTGTCCCCGATTTGGGGCAGAAGTGTCCCGGGAAAGGCAGACAAGCCCAGAAGGAGCAGGAGCGAATTCTCACCCATCTCCTGTGCTTGGCGTCTTCTCTTGGGTGGGGTGGTGGCATACAGGGGCCCACGCTGGACTGCCTCTTTGCCGGGCTGCCTCTTGCACCTTTCGATTCTCTCCAGCCTCTGATGAGTGCCGGGGGCAGCGCTGTGGGGCACCACTGGCTCTCAGGCCAAGAGAGCCAGTGCTCAGCAAATGTGTGTTCCCACCCCTGATTATTTGTAAGGCCGCTTCAGACACTGGTGCCTTTGGCGACCAGACCCGGAGCTGTCCTTCTGCGTAGCTGACAGTGGGCCGATTGGCAGGTGCCGTGACAGAGGCCCAGGGCTGCAGACAATGGTGGCTTTAATCCCATGAGCAGGTTAGACGCCAAGTCTGGAATTAAAGGATGACTCTTGACCCAAAAATCCAGTGAGACAGTGTGACGTGTGAAGGCCTCAAAGGCCTTGCTGTCTGTACCCGCTTGTATCTGATCACGCTAGTGGAGGCTACAGGCTCAGGTTGTAAACTTTGCATTTCATCTGAAGCACTTTTTTTGGCTATATTAGCAGCTCCAATGCCATACTTACACTTACTATAAAATGATTTTTACATCTCTATTTTCCTAGGGGTGTGTACACGAGTAAGAAAAGATAGGGTGGTCTTCATGTCTGGACATAAGGCGAAGCTTCAACCATGACTGTACGATGCTCTGCTAAATAAAATAATCAAGGCTTACAGGAGGCAGCCTTTCTCCCCAGGAAACAAGATCCCTTGGTCTGCAGCGGGGCTTGGTGAAAGGCTGGGCTGCCACACTCAAAGAAATAGTTCCCTGCTGACTGCACGTTTCTGTCTTGTTTATTGTTCTGTTTAGAAGTCTGGGAGACAGAAGGAAGTCGTAGAAATACCTCCCAACTCTCGGCTCTAGGGCCCCGTGAAGGGAATGGTGAGGGGAATCTGTCAGCCGTCATTGCAAACCCCACCTCGACCCGCTGGGGTGAAGCCCTATCCAAGGGTGGAATGAGAACCTCCTCCTGGGGGGCTGTGCTCACTGACACGTTGATTTGACAGTTGCTGACCTTCCTCATTGCCAAGATCCCCTTCCTCCACCTGTGAGACCAAAATTTCCTCTTCCTCACCTTCCCTGGGTGCTGCCCCAGATGGGGGGCAAAATGGGAGCTGACAGAGGAGGAGGGGAGAAGCTTGGCCCACCGGCGAGGAGCCTCTACAGGCTTTGAGGATCGTCTTCCAGGGAAAATGCCTTCTCTTGCTTTGGAAAGCTCCTATTTCATGAGGTGGAGAGGGCCAGGGATTGCTCTGGATGGCGATGTGACCCCAAGGCCAGAGTCTGGGGAGTGCAGGACCCCAGATCCAATCAGTGGAGGGGACTCTGCAGAGGGTGTGAAAGCTAGGAGGGCCTCCAGGAGCTGGCGAGAGAAGGGCAGGGCAGGGTGTCAGGACCACAGGGCCGGCTGACCAGCCTTCCCGCACAGTTCCCTGGCTCGCACTCGACTCGTGGTGAGCACACAGGGACGCACACCCAGGAATAAAGTGGACAAAGGGCAGTAGGAAGGGGACGAAAAGGGGGCTGTGACTGCATCAGTAATCAGCACACGGGTGGCTCTGAACTTCCCGGTAAGGAAAGGAAGACAGTGCTACGCAGCCCTTATTGTCTAGGAAAAGAAAATGTACCGATTCTTCGGGGAACTTTTCTTCCTGGCAACAAATTCTTGGAAGAATTTATGTGACAGGACACTCCAGGGGAACATCCTTGGGTTGGGAAGGAGGCTGCCTAGTCCGGAGGGCCTTGGACATTCCAGCCATACGGAGGGAGGAAGGCCAGGCGGCTGGTCCAACGGGATCAGGGGAGGCAGGTTGATCAGAGGGTGTCCCTGGGAGTGAGGGAGGGAGCTGGGGAGACGCCCCCAGGGATTAGAGGTGGAGGCCAGGGGCACTTCACCGTCTATGATGTCCTTCCTCAGTGGGACGGCCTGTGCCTATCCTTAGGGACAACAGTGTAGGGGTGGTCAGGAAGACGGAGGCTTGCTCCCTGGCCTGGGCCAGCTGGAGGAGGAGAATCTTAAGGGTTAGAATAAGTGGTCAGCATTTCACCAAAGCCAGGAAAGCATCCGTGGGCCTCTAGGAGAAAGGAAGGAGCCTGGGGAGCCCGTGAGGTGTAAGGACTGCCACTCTTGGGCTTCGCCAGGCTCTGGGTCCTAGGGAGGGTCAAGGCTGAAAAAGGGGAGCATGAAGAGAAGAAGGAAAGAAGAGAGAGGGAGAGGTGGAAGATCGG